GAGCGGCAGGCGTTGTGCGCTGCTGCGCCCCTGCTCTGCCCTGCTGGTGTTCGACGGCGCGTTTATCGCTCCAGTGCCTCTCGCTGTTTGCGTTAGTGACGTTTGCTTTCGCGTTTGGAAGGGGCAGAACACCCACAACATCGGAAGGTTATAGAGAGGTTGGAGCGAGTCCAGAGGAGGCCACGAAGATGCTCAGAGGGCTGGAGCACCTCTGCCATGGGGACAGGCTGAGAGAGTTGGGCTTGTTCAGCCTGGAGAAGAGAAGGCTCCGGGGAGACCTTACAGCACCTTCCAGTACCTGAAGGGGGCTACAAGGAAGCTGGGGGGGACTTTTTACAAGGGCCTGTAGTGACAGGACAAGGGGTGATGGGTTTAAATTGAAAGTGGGGAGGTTTAGGTTGGATATCAGGAAGAAGTTCTTCACAGAGAGGGTGGTGAGGCACTGGAACAGGTTGCCCAGAGAAGCTGTGGATGCCCCATCCCTGGAAGTGTTCAAGGCCAGGCTGGATGAGGCTTTGAGAAACCTGGTCTAGTGGAAGTTGTCCCTGCCCATGGCAGGGGGGGTGGAACTAGATGGTCTTTAAGGTCCCTTCCCACCCTAACCATTCTGTGATTCCATGAAATACGGAACTTCTTTCTTTGTAGGACAGAGCACTTCCACGTGTGACCGTCCCCCTTCACTTTGTAGATGCTGAGGTTTGTTTGCTAAAACATGATGCGAGTGACCTGAAGCCACTCCGTGTGTCGCCCCCAACTCATGTACTCATCCAAAAACCTCAGATGTGTTTCACGTGGTGTAACTCAGACCTGTAGGGTTTGTTAAGCATGTGTCTCAAAAAAGGTCTTAGACCTGTGGTTTGTCCTCTTGGGTTTTTTTTTAATCTACTTTTTGCAGCGGTTGTAGCGTAAATTAAATACCCAGCCTCAGTTCAGGTGGGAACTGGCTACCACAACTGCTTTAAAAGTGAATTTCAGTTTCTTGTGTTCCCTGATTTTGTCCCGAAGCCTTACAGCTTTTAGTTTTTTGGGGTTTTTTTTTTTGTTGTTGGTTTTTTTTTGGTTTTTTTTATGTTACTTTTCAGTGCACTGTGATCGTGCTGTGATTTCCGGTGTTGTCTTATGACCCCAGGAGCAGTAATTTATTAGCATGGAAATAAAACAGATTTAATTCCATTGCTGTCAGTCTTTAGGAACTTAGCTGGAACTTCCCTTTCACGATTTGCTGCGTGTTGCCTGAAAAACTACAAACCCCTGGTACTAGAATTCTTGTTCTGCATATGGGGAATTGGAGATTGCCTTAGTTATCTCTCTGCCTGCATTTATGTCAATTTTCCGTTCATAAAGCATCTTTCAAAACTTGCATCTTCCTCAAAATACTGTGTTCTCTGACATATTGAGATATCATGTGAACTGTCCGAGTGATGCAAAAATTAAGATTCACGTTCCATACTCAGAAGAACTGTAAAAGATTTGTCTGGTTCTCCTTTCTTTGTATGATCTTGATTCCCAGAAGACAGGTGAATGGCTTATTCTGAAATATTCCCAAGCTGTTCAAATGGAGAATAAAACCAAGCTCAGCTTTTACTAAGCGGTAGTGCTGTATGGTGACATGGAGCAGGAAGCCCTAAATTATTTCATGCTAAATTAACTTATTTTGAAGTTAAGGCTAGCTGCATCTCGGGAAGTATAAGTGAAATAGATTGTGTACAAGAGGCTTTATACTTCTCGAAGCACTTGGAATTTCTAAACAGCTTGAAAATACTTGAATAATATTAGTAATCTCATTTGGAATAAAAAGTTGAATCCTTTTCATCAAGCCCAAATAAGACACGGTGAGTCCCAAGCAGTCATCGATACTGCAAGTAGGGATTGCAAGGTGATGAGGTCTTCAGTAACAGCAGCACTGTTTTTTAAACCTGTTCCCAAATCTTCAGGTATCTTCTGTGGCTAGGTCAGATTTTGGTTTGCAAACGAACTTCTAAGGCTTTGCATTTCATTTAGGCTGTCTTGTTCAGTGTTGGTCAGGAGTTGAAGAAATAGCATAGGTTTGGGTTTTAATTATGAGTGAAGCAACTGCTAACTTTAAATTTCTCTACTTGCAGAAGCCATTCATGCCATTTTGGTTTACAGCCAGAGTGTAGAAGAACTTCTGAAACGCAGAAAAGTCTGTCGAGAAATACTTTTAAAGTATTTGACAGCACAAGAGATTCCAGTGCCTCCTTCCTCTGAGAAACATCTGCTCATTGACCGCGTAAAGCAGCACTGGAGCGGGCAGCTGGCGGCACGTGTCGTCGAGTCAGGGGAGAGAACACCACACGCAGAGGTGAGTGCTGCGGTTTGAAAGGCCTGGGGGTGCTTGGCATCGCTTTTGCAGGGTGACTAGTGTAAGTGTTCTGAGGTGTATCCAAACTGTGGCTCTTTGACTGTGTTTAGGAAGGTGCTGAGTCTCTTCATCTCTGGTTTGGTTTTGGTGGGTTTATTTTTTTTTATGTGAAGGTGTCTGTGCCAATGTATCACTTGCAGAGCACGCTCTTCAGCTCTGTCTTGCAAAGTATATTAGTGTGTTTTAACTCTAATGTGTGGGATCTTTGCCATGCTTTTCATTTTTGAAGTTGTACTGTAAGCTGAAATAGAGGGTTTTCACAAATAACTCTGTGTATTCAAGGACAGCTGAAAACACTGTTAATGGCACAGAAACCCTGCATAGCCCCTGGTCATTTTTTCATATGGTAGATCTTCGTAAACTTTTGATAGAGATCCAGGATTTCCTATCATCCTCCAGCCACTCGGGGCACTAGGGATACCGTTGGTGGGGCACGTCCCAGAGCAGAGCAAAGCAATGCTGCCGTAGGGTGAGGACGTCTGTCAGATGTGGCCTAAAATGGTGCAGGGAGGGAATGGACAGAAATCTGCCTTTTTGGAAGCGATCTACTTGCCCTAGTGACAGCGCAGTCCCATAGCACCGGTGACAGCAGCACTGTCTGTAAGCTGTTTTCCTTTTCACCTCTTCAAGTACAGGATGCATTTTAGTGAACTTTTGTATCGTTGAAATGTGCGGTTTGTAGCAGTGCCAGGTCTGTGTCATTTTTTTTCCTTTGATATTAGTAACACTTAGTATGGCGTAACAAAATGTGTTTTGGCAATTACAGGTTATTTTGAAGTTCAGAATTTTGACGTTTAGCAAATCTTCGTGGTGTGATGAACTTCCAGTGTTTTATTAGGCTTGGATCTTTACCGTGCTGAGTAGCCACCTCAAGTGCTGTACTTGGGAGACCAAATGGGCAACAGCCCCACCAGCTGGACTGTTAGAGCTCTGTAGCTGCCGGCAAGCTATCGTGCTGAGGTTCCTCATGGATTAGAGCATGAGAGTTAGGATTTAGCTGAGAATTGTTTTCAAAACAATTTTTGTGTGCATACTTTGAAAATGAAAACGTTCCTTTTGCAAGAACACTTCCCAAGTATTACCCCATAGTGAAGTTTTATGGCAGAAGGGAAGTGAAATCTCCAAAGTACTTAAATCACATTCACGAAGGATGAGCAGTTCAACTGGTTTGGTTATCACCTGCATCTTTCTCTGCCTTTGTTTTCTCTGAATTCTTGTGACTCTCACCATTTTGAAGAAATGGGTGACATGAACCCCTGTAACAGAATTAGAAATGAATTACAGGTTATTGTGAAACCAGCACAGCATTTCTATACAGAAGTCTCCAAACCTTTAATACTGAATGTTTACTTAAAACATACTCAATGTAATACTTAGCAGACTTCGACGTTAGCAAACTTGGCATTTGATTTACTTCTAGAAGCCTTGCTGTTAAGTTGCAAATACTGAGGAGCCCTACGAAATAACTGTGCATTTAGTCACCTTACAGTTGGAGGTCATGTATCTTTATGTTGGGAAGTTTGGATGATTTTCCTTAAGTAAAAAAATCTTACAAAAGTGTTGTTTTTTTTTTTTTTTTTTTTTACAAAGATAAGACAAAGCAGAGGATAAGCAAACTACGTATGTGCAAATCAAATAGGCTCAGAGGACTGTTACTTGGGCATCCGGTTGTTGCCTTTTACGTTGACTCATCCTTTAGAAAGAAGTCTCCTCTAAATGAAATGTGGTTTTATAATCAACTGAAAAACCTGTCTTAAATACCTAATTGCTAAGCAAATTATTTCCTCGATGTTTGTGCTTACATTTTGCTATTCTTCTGCACGTAGTTGTAGACATACCAAAAACTCGACTGCAAGGAATAGGGTTTTTTCTTAGCTGAACCCATAATAGTGTCTAAAAAAATCTTTCTGCTTACTTTGTCCCAGTACATACTGAGTGATACAACACTAGGAGTGGTTTGTCACCCTCTCTGACGTGGTTTTAATAACATGACCGTTGGGTCCCCACTGATACTTGCTTTTGCTTCTTACTGTGAATTTGGCTTCCTAACCATGCCCACCACCCTGTGTTGTCAGTCTCAGCAACCCAGTCTTTAAGAAATACTTCAAAACAATATTGATGTTTATGCCCCTACACGTTAGATGTATTTTACGGAGTGTGTGTGTGTCATTTTCTGTAAAACAAAGGAAAAAAGGGCACAAACAGCCTTTCCGTAACCTATGGGGAAGATGTGTTTTCAGTGGGTTCATGCTTTCACTGACTCACGCTAAGACTTCTAGACAAGTATCTTCAACTGAGCCTTTTCAAATTCTTCTTTGGAGGCTTGGCTGTCTGCTAACAATGTTTACTTTGTCTCACTGCTTAAAAGTACTTTCTCAGCAGATTCAGTATTGAACCAAGGATTTTGTGACAATCTGAAGGAATGATTTCATGGCAGGCTGAATGGATTTGCCTTTATTCCCATGCTGCTATGTGAAAGTCCCTGCAGCCCTCCTAGCCCAATGTCATACTGTCTCAGTCTGTTTTAGGTGCTCAGTTGTACAGTTAGAAAATTAACTGAGTTTCCTCAAGACTTCTGTCTATTTTGGAGAGGCACAGGTTACCATAAATTAAGGTTTTCTTTGATTTGGGCTCTCTTTCTATTAGAACTGTGTTGAAAACTACAAACACCACTTGAGAAAGTGCCTAAGCGTCTTTTGGATGATTTTTGGCAGTCTTACTGCCAAACAGGGCTAAATTCAGGCATGTGGTCTGGTGGAGATCAAGTTCTGGAACACATTCATTCTTTGATTTTCATTTTTAACTTGATTAATTGTGCGTTCTGTCAGCATATTCCACTGACAGAGGTAAAATACCCCCATAAATCAGAAGCATCCTGTCAGCTTTAAGTATTTTCTCTTATCAGCTGTATGAAAATGCAGAGACCAACACAATTCACCAAATTAAAAGGTACCAAAAAGAAGGGACTGAAGGCAATGTGAAATAGGAAGAACATGTCAACACAGCTGCTTATTTATAAGCACCTCTCAGTAAATTGCTATACTTTAATATGAGATTAGCTTTTTAGGTGGGGTCTGGATCCTTCTTGTTTTCCTGTAACCTTCTTTTGGAAAGGTAAAGGCCAGTGAGAAGTTACTAACCCAGGGGCTTTTTACTTGGGAGAATTTTCGTCTCAGTGTGAGAATCCTTGTCCCATGTAAGTTGTTTAAAAATCTTTTTCTGCCCTTTTTCAGTAGAAACAGGATTTTCCTCTTTGTTTATAAATCATAGAATCACAGAATGGTTTGGGTTGGGAGGGACCTTAAAGATCATCTAGTTCCAACCCCCTTGCCATGGGCAGGGACAAATTGTAGACCAAGACAAAACTGGACTATTCTAGTTGTCATTCAAAGAACCTACTGTGCTTCTCTAGCTTAGACAAATCGTGACCTTAAAAATAAATGGGATTTTACTTTGTTGTTTTTCTTCAGGCGTTCTGTCTCAGAACACCTGAAGAAAACTTAGAGTGTTTAAAATAAGTATTTCCATGATTCTGTTGTTCTAAGTCGAAATCTTGCATGTCAGCGCTAAATGGTTCTAAGAAAAAAAATGTGCTTGATTACAGGGTCCTGGGGAGAGACAGAAGTCACTAGAAGATGACATTCGTGATCTAGGAGAAGAATTCTGTCAGTGGTTCTTTGATCTCCTGAATTCTCAACATCCCTTGGGAGTGACAGCTGAAGAAAGATGGGGACCCCAGCATTTTTGGGAGGATGCTAAAATGAAGTTCTGTTACAACACATTAGAAAAAAACATGGAAGAGTATGTTGGTGCAGAAATGGTGAGCCTTCGTCTGCTCTCGTTGGTTAAAGAAGAGTATCTTCTGTTCAACCCAAACTTGCGTGCCAACGGACTGAAATGTGCCATGTCTCCACACGGGTTAGTACTGGTGGCAGTGGCTGGCACAGTACTCAGAGGCAACACTTGTTTAGGCATCTTTGAACAAGTATTTGGACTCATTAGCTGCCCTGTTAGAGAGAATACCTGGAAAATAAAAGTTGTGAATCTTAAGATTCTTGGAGAGAATGCTCTGGAGCCTGGGACGCAAATTGAAAAACCCTCCCTAAAATATGAGTCAAACCAACTGCGGCAGTTTTATGATGGGAAAGAGCTGGCCGTGTTTGAACCTCAGAAATTCTGAGCAGTTCTTTCACAACTGAGTGACTGGGTGAAGGGAGCGAGCGTACACCCCTTGTAGTGCGTAGTCAAGTATTGATGTGGTTGCAGCCACGTGATGTTGCCTCCTTTTTGAGTCAGACCTGCTGGATGACACGCTGAGGTACAGAGTCTGAAGTATTAATGCAGGTGGTGCTTTTGGGCACTTTTCTGAGAGCTAGCAAGTCTTTCAGAGTGTTACTTTAGTTTTTTGAATTGTAGTTTGGTTATTCTTGGTTACAAAACATGGTGCCATCTAAATAGGGGTTGGCAGCAGTATGTAACGAGCTAGATGACTTGGGTTCACTGACCTCAGGTTGCTTCTCTGGAGGTCACCAACTCTTGTCTGAGTTGTAACAGGAAGTCATTGCTTCTGGCTTTTTGAAACTGGGATCGGTGAATGTTGAAATGGACATATAAATCCCCAAAAAAACATCTGCACTTCAGGAGTTTTGGGAGAGGACAGACAAAATAATGCGACCGGAGACTGCTGCCCTTTATCTTCTAAATGTGGGACCATCAGTCACTGAATGATAGAAGTAGTTTAATGGGACAGTGCAGGGAAGGTAGCATCCTTGAAGTCTTTTTTTTTCCCTCTTTGGGCTAGTAGCTTGCTTTCCTTTTACCTTATGGTTCCAACTTTGGAATGGATTCAGACAGTCTCTTGGTTGTTCTGTGTCCCCGCGCAGACAAATTTGAGATGGTTGCCCAGGCATCTGTTTCTAGCACTGACTCTCTTGGATCAAGTTGTTGATTTCATGACTTAACAGCGGCACTTTATGTACCAAATGCTTTGATAATTGTTTTGTATATCCTTAGAACAGTTTTTCCTTCTATAAAAGTTGCAATTTTTGTAGGTTTTATCAAGAATTTCATCTACTCTGAACTGCTTTATTACATTGACTAGAAGACAGTTTGTTAACACTGGTCAGTTACGATGACAGGTGATATCAAGTAGATAATCCAATTACTACTTAATAATGGAGATTATTGCCATTGTAGAACTTGATTTTTCTGACTTTTTTTTAATTGATAAGTTATTAGAGGTGAAACGAGATGGAAACTTCTTTTTTCTGCAGCTTGCTTGGATTGTTTGCAAGTTTGGTCTTAATTTTATAGTTCTGCCAATACAAGTTATGAAAATGGACATACTCCTCTTTTTTAAGAGTTCCATTGGTTTGGGTATGCTTGTCAAAGACAACAAGTGGCTGGGTGAGGGGAAACAAGGGGATTCGGGCATGTACATAACTCATATTTACGAACAGTCTGATTCTCTAGTTCACTTAAAAAATTTCTAAAATAATTTATTTTCAAAGCAAAAATTTAAGTACTGTGTTGGAACGTTCTTTCCCAATAACAGTTGACTTGTGGTTTCTTCAGCTACTGATGCATAATAAATAAAAATCAACCTGAATTTAAAATTCTTGAGAAGCAGTTTCCTTGTGTGCGGTGAGAGTTGTGTTCCCCTTCAGGTGAGGGCAAAAGCCAACCTAAGGGCCTGAACGGGGACCCGCTGGGCACGGGGTATGACAGTCTGTAATTCAGCGGCAGGTGGTGTCTGCAGAACGGTGCGTTGTAGCTGGCAGCAGCGCAGCTCTTACTTCAGCCAGCGTGTTAGATACGAGCATGGCTAAGGGTGTAGTTTTGGTCACTGCTTTAAGCTGATGTGGGGCAGCCGGTCCCCTTCCTCTGATACGTGTCCTGGCTTCCTTCTCGTGTCGGCTTGTGCTAACTCTAGACAAGAGAGAGTGGGGACCGGGATCCCAGGAAAGCTGACTCACTGTTAGGAACCCTTCAGGCTGCTCGCTCTGTAAGAAGGGTGGCCGCACAAGTGGTAGCGTCAGCTTGGGGAACAGAAATTTGCCTGAACTTCTGTGAGATTAAACATGGGATCAAATAGAAGTGTCTGAATTCTTACATCCAAGTATTTGTGCTTGATAAGTTCCAGATGCTGAATGCAAGGACCATTGTGGGAAATGAGCTTTTCACTAAGGTTGGTACCTACCGAGCTTGTTCTTACTCCTTCGGTTCTGCACAAAGTGGGCCAGAAAACGTTAAATTGTCTCGGCCCTGTGATCTCTGTGTAAACCCGTATTCTGCTGCAGTGGAGTGGGTGCTGCATGCTTTACTTGTGACCTGTTGGTGCAGTTGCTGCTCTTGCGTTGTTGATCAAACTGTTAAGAATCTGCGTACATTAGCCTGTTCTCATTAGCTGCTGAATGATAACTGATTTTTGCAGCAGCTAATTTTGGTGTATCCTCATGGGTTACCTCAAATTGCAATTACCAAGGAGCAGCTGGTGTCAGCAGTCGATGAGCAGCAGGTATCCCAGGCTGCTGCTGTGAAACACGGGAGACGTACAGTATCTGCTCTTTACAATCTCACCACCTGAATATTTGGTAGGCACTGGCAGTCAGCTGATGCTGAGTAACCGTGCGTTTGCAGTTATTAACTGCTATGACTTCTTTTATCCTGTGATACATCTTCCTCTTTTTCTCCCAGGCCTGCATTCCTGTGAGAAAAGCATACTCATCCCTTCTAAATGCATTTTATTTCTACTTGGAAAAAGGATTCCTGTTCTTCCTAGTGGAGGGTGTCCCTGCCCATGGCAGGGGGGTTGGAACTAGATGATCTTTAAGGTCCCTTCCAACCCAAACGATTCTGTGATTCCGTATAGTAATGGTGCTTCAGGCTCTCCATCCTGCAAGGAGGCAGAAGGGTGTTTTGAAAGCTGCTGCCTGTTTGCAGTCAGCTGTAGGGGGAGGCAGAGAGGTGGTGATGCCTCTGCTCTTTGACATTTCGTGTATGTAGAAGTGTGCTCGTTTTGTGCTATGTGAGAGGTCATATTTGTAGTACTACACCACACGATATCACAGGTATTTTTCCACTGTTGTGATGATTTTTTTGTGTGTATCCTTCCTAGGAGTTCAGAATTCAATTTTCAAGTCATTGTCACATTCAGAATTTTTTTTTCAAGAGTAGAAAAATGCTAATTGCAGGGTAAATTTGAGGAGATACTTTCAGTTTAACCTGGACTTTAAGGAAAACATTAGGACTTGTTTAAATGGAGTACAGCCAAAAAGCTTTCCTTGAAATATTCATGGCAGTGATTTCATCACTCCATCTAGATGGTGCTGTTCAGAGTTGAAGTGACTGCTGGTTGGCCTACCTTTGGAAGCGATGGCCATCTCAATTACATTGAGGAGGTTCACAAAAACTAAGTGAAACAGCTTTGAAACTGTTTTCATCAATTTTCCTTTGCAGCACTATTTAGTCAAAGCTCAAGACAAATGTTTTCGGCAACAATTTCTTATGTCTTATCACTGCTACTTAAGCTGAAACACTAAATTTATGTTATCTAGATCTGTCTCTGGGAAACAGTTGGATAGTAAGCAGAATACTGACTTGCAATGAAGCAGTCAGAACTTAATGAATTATGTAAATGTTAAACAGTGAGAGTCATTGCCCTTTCTTCTAATTAGCCACACGAGAGGGATTAAATCTTTTTGTCTCAGAAGTGGGAAGCTTAATGGGTAGAAGCTCTGGGATCATGCAGGCCGGCTACCTTGCTGCAGGTTATCCCGTACTGGTTTGGCTGTGCTGACGCTCCTTATGCAGAAGAAGAAAAGTAATCACCAGGAGACCTTCCGCAGAGCATTAGATGAGTTCTCTGTTGTCTGTGGTCTGAATATCCAGCATTGCTCAATGGCATGTTATTTTACCACGCTTGTAATAGTAATGAAAGAAATTTGTTTTCTGTGGGTGCTCGTTTTCTCTATGGAATTAAATTTTTAAGTGTATTGAGGGATTTGTAAAAAGTGTCTAATATTCTTCAGGTATGTCCTGCTTGCTTAGTAATCTGAGGAGGAAATTTCAGGGCTGAATTTCCTTTTCTTTTAACTTATACCCTTTTGCCACATGTTTTCTTTGCTTCTCATACTTGGGATTGTGGTATTTCACCTCTCTGGGAAGGCATTTTCAGTGTACAGATGTATTGTGATGTGCCTGAGGAGACCTTGGTGCTCTACATCCTTTCAATTACACGAACAAATGGGTGGGGAGGGGAAAGCAGGTCCTGTGGTAAAAATAATAGTAGATCATTTGTCTATTTATGACCAATGAATGAAATTGGTTTAGTGGTGATATCAGCAGTGCTGGATTAATGGTTGGACTTGGTTATCTTAAAGGGCTTTTACAACCTAAAAGATTCTGTGCTGTCAGTGTGATTGTGTCACAGCTGAGGCACTACGACTTCCATTCTGTAAAATGCCAGGTGTAACTAAGGAGCAGTGAAGACAGGGATATTGGTGGGATTTGTCTCAGTTTGCATTGGAAGCCTATAGAAAATCACTGCAAGCTTCCATTGAAGCAGCCTGGCTAACTCCAAGTGCGTTGTTAGAATAGCTGTAACTCCAAAACAGGAAACCAAGTCTTGGATTTTTCCTCTTAGCAAATCACAGAAGCTCCCGAGCATATGGAAAAATATATTTTTGTGTTATGTTTCAAGACCTATCACAGCCTTAAAAGGCTCTTTGAGATACCCCTCATTGCCATAGGATCATCTAGGTATTGCGGGTGAGTGTTGTACTTAAATTTCTGCTGTGTCTAGCTAGTGTTGTCCTGGAGTGAAGTGCCTACAGCATTCTGAGTGCTTCCACTGTAGCAAGCTTTTCAGTCCAAGTCAGGAGGCTGTTTCTGAAGAAAATTTAGTGTTTGCTGCCACACTCACTGCCAGTGTGTTTTGATTCACATTACAGAGCACCCTTGGTCATGCACCCCGGGGTTCCCCTTGGATGAAACCACGCTAGAGATACCCTCCAGCCCTGCATCTGAGGTGCCCTGCTCACTGCGAGGCAGTCCACAGGACCAGCCTGGAGCTAGCTGGCAGTAATCACCCCCCTGCTCCACCTCCCCCCCCATACGTATAGTTTGTGTGCTGGCAGCGTCTCGGCAACAGCTGTTTCATGATCCTATTGCACAGCACTG